GACGTCGGCAGTCTGCGAGGCTTTGAAGAAGCCAACCGCAGGCGCAAAATAATTCAAGCTATACAACGAGCCCGCCGCAGGCGCCGATTTTTTGTTAACTTAATGTAGGTGGGTTGCGGGTTGGTTCGCAGGTGGGTCGCGGGTGGGTCGACGGTGGGTCGCGGGTGGGTTGCGGGCTGGGTCGCGGGTGGGTCGCGGGTGGGTAGCTGGTGGGTCGCGGGTGGGTCGCGAGCGGGTCGCGGGGTGGGTCGCGGGTGAGTCGCGGGCTGGGTCGCGGGGGGGACGATGACACCACCACCAACAACAACAACAAGCAGAGTCTTCACCAGGGATCCGCACTTCAGCCACGCACCCAGGGACAATGAATGACCGTTCGGCCCCCTCACTCTGATAGTAGAAAAGAGTAGGGTAGCGGGATGTAGGTCTCCTTAGAGTAGAGTAGAGTCGAGTAGAGATAGTAGATGTGTGGAGTAGAATAGAGAAGAGCTGAGCAGGAGTAGAGTAGGAGTAGAGTAGAGTAGGAACCAAGTGGAGTAGAGCCGAGTATGTTAGGGTACGGCAGGGCAGAGTAGAGCAGGTGAGAGTAGAGCAGGATAGAGCAGAGGCGAGAGTATAAGAGTAGGGCAGAGTAGGGCACAGTAAGGTAGAGTGCAGTAGGGCCCAGGCAACATGTATCAGGTCCCTGGAGCGAGCCCTGACAACATTCTATCAGGGCCGATGCCTGGCGCGGGCGCCAGCGACAGGTGTGCCGCCGCCGCCGCTGTCGTTGTCGCCGTCGCAGGCGTCGTGCATAGTATTGTTTGCAGGGGATGGCGGGGGGGGCCGATACCGGCTTGGCTGGGATGGTATGTTCATAGTTCGGATGGGCGATGGGGCAGAATCATTTTTTCCAATACGCAAAGGGGGAGCGATAATCACGGGGGGGGGGGTAGAGTCTATCTTTTTTTTGGGGGGGAAAGGAGGATCCATGTGGCGGCGACGAGATGGCCCGCGTCCCAACTCTGGAGCAGCTCTTGTGCAAAAATTGCAAGTCCTGATTTTCTAGGCCATCCCGTGGACCCACCCGAGCCTGCGGGTTCGAGTTCTCGCCCCGCGCTGCGGGGGTTGACGACGGGAGGCCCTGAGAGTTGTCCTGGGAACGCGAAGAGGACGAAGTGGCTTACACGTGGCTCCGGACATTCAAATGAAGACCTGGGAATGGGGTTTTGGGGCTGCGAAGAGCACGAAGTGGCTGACATTTGGCTCCGGACGCTCAAACTGTGGCCTGGGAGTGGGGGCTTGGGAACAGGAAGAACGCGAACAGGCCTACAGTTCGCCCCCGATGCTCAAAATGTGCCCTGGCAGTGGTGTTCTGGCAGGATGTGTCATGATTCCAGACAAGAGGTACACACTTTTGTAAATTACAGTGATTTGCCCTCCCAGCCTGGCCATATCGAAACGATGATGACAGCCACGAAGTGTGATGTACAGACACGCCTCCAACTCGGACTCCCTCGCACTTCCTGCGAATGGTCATTGAGAAATTGGGGTGATCCAAACCGCAATTTTCTTCTGAGTCCAAACCACAATCTCCTTCTGCGTTTTGATCTATACGAAATGCGGCACGCATAACTTGAGCATTGCAGCGTGTACCGTCGATGACATTGCTTTTGTCATCAGCCACGCTCTGTTGAAACTGCTGAATTGCATGATCACCATCTTGGTTTAGAGTTTTCAATCGGATTTCAAGTTTGTCTTCCCAAAGTGACTCACCATCTTCGTAGCAGTCGTCGTTGTCAGTGGAGCCGCGGAGAAGGCGGTCGCTGGGAACGTCGCGGGGAAGGGCGGCATGGGGAAGGGCGTCGGGCATCCTTTCCTCTTCCAAGACGTCCGAATCAAGTCCTTTCCCTGTCGTGTGCGACCAGCTCCCCATGCCAATTCCACCAAGCTCAAGGTCCGCATCTGCAACATATCCCAAAGAGCTATGCAACTGCGCAATGTTTTGGGTTTCTGAGGTCTTCAAGTAAGGTGCACAATAGCACTGACCTCCAGCGGCCTCCCTAGTTCTTCCACCATAGCATTAAAGCGCGGCGAATCCTTGGGTGGCGGATGCCGAATCTGCACGCTGGGAAGATTAGGTGGCAACACCAATCCCTTGACGTGTAGAGACTTATGTGCAACTTGCGTGGCTCAAACATCTGTGGTGTCGCGCGCAGCCACAACTGAACGAATGATGTGTACTTTCCTGTCCCGTATGCGTCGCCTCTTCGACTTGCTAGAATGGCGGCTGCAATCGCCTTGCTGCCAATTGTACTGTTGAGGCTGCCAACTGTACTGACTGTACTGCCAACGATCTAGATGGTCATGCTGCTGCCACCTGTACTGCCCGTGCTGCCATGCATCATGTGAGACATGCTGCGGGTAACGGTGCTGCTATGAATCATGTGAACCATGTTGCGGGTATCGATAAAACTGCTGGGTACACTGATGCTCTTCACTATTGCCGTCGCAAGGCCGCTCGAATGGCGTCGTAAGGTCAGCAGAACAGAGACCCTGATAAGCAAACATCGCGCGTGACTGAACATGGGGAGAGTCAGTGATAGAAGGGCCGCAGATATGGGGAGAAATGAAGTGAAGTTCCATCGCGGTTGCCCACCTGAGGGCGACGCTCCTGGCCCCTAGGCCCGCTCGGGCCCGAGGCTTCCTCCTCCTCCGCCTCCTCCTCTCATTCGGGATAGTCTGATCTTAGGTGTTTTTCTAGACCCGTTCGGCAAAGCATTGGCAACGAGTGACATCCCTGGCCGCATGCAATCTCCTCCCCCCCCTCCCCGTCCTCCTTCTCCTCCTCCTTCTCCTCCTCCTTCTCCTCCTCCTCCCTTTCCTCCTCCTCCCCCTCCTCCTCCTCCTCCTCCTCCTCCTCCTCCTCCTCCTCCTCTTATTCCTCCTCCTGCTCCTCCTCATCCTGCTCCTCCTCCGCCTCCTCTTGCTTCTCCTCCTCTTCCTCTTCCTCCTGGTCTTCCTCCTTCTCCTTCTCCTTTTCCTCCTCCTTTTCCTCCTCCTTCTCCTTCCTCCTCCTCCTCCGTGCTGCTTCCTTTTGTTGCCTCCTCCTCATCCTCCTCCTGCCCCTGGCCTCCCTTCTCCCTCCTGCCCCCCTCTCGTGCCCTCCTCTCCTGCTGCGCGACCCATTCCTCCTCCTCCTCCTCCTCCTCCTTTTCCTCCTCCTCCTCCCTCTTCCTCCGTGCTGCTTCCTTTTGCCTCCTCCTCCTCCTCATCCTCCTCCTGCCCCTGGCCCCCTTCTTCCTCCTGCCCCCCTCTCTTGCCCTCCTCTCCTGGTGCGCGTCCCATTCCTCCTCCTCCTCCACCTCCTCCTCCTCCTCCTCTTCCTCTGGGCGCCTAGCCGGAGAAGGAGGACGGGGAGGAGGTGAGGAGGGATCATAGCACGCTGTTTCCCTCCCCCTCCTGCTGCGCGTCCAATTCCCCAACCTCCTCTCTTGCTGCTGCGAAGGACCATATCGGACAGAAGGTCTCAGTGTCACATCGTGCGTCACGTATGCGCGTGCACGGGAAGCGGGGGGAAGAGAGGAAGAAGGAAAAGGAGTTAGCTTCTGCGGTATCGTCTGTTGCTCTGGCCTTAGTCTCAGGTTTCCGATAGAAACGGGTCCAGTAAGCCAGGTCCAGGTCAGGGCCAGGGAGATCACCGTCCCATGTGCGCCCAGCTGGATGATGATGAGGAGGGGAGGGGGCGTATCACGCCCTCCCATTCCCTCCCTGCTCCTCCTCTTGGTGTCCAGCTTCAGTAGCCTTTGGCTCGAGCACTGGCTCGCCGCAGGCGCTCCTCTTCGCCCGGCGCCGGCCATGGCGCAGCGCGTGCTGGTGACTGGGGGCAACACGGGCATCGGATTCGCGCTGTGCCGCCAGCTGGCCGCGGAGCACGGGTGCCACGTGTACCTCGGCTCCCGCAGCCTCGACAAGGGTCGCGCGGCCGTCCAGGCGATCCTGGCCTCGCACCCGAACGCAAGGTTCCAGGCCTCCCAGACGCGGTCCGAGTAGATGGGGTCGGAGGATCGCGCCGCATCGCCGATGCATCGCCGATGCATCGCCGATGCGGCTCGATGTGGAGCCCGACTTTCTCCACTCCGACGTCGTCGATGCATCCTCGATGTGTCGCAGATGCATTGGCGATGCGGCGCGATCCTCCGACCCCATCTAGTCGGACCCCATCTGGGAGGCCTCTAAAGGTGCGAGCTTGTCCAGATTGACACTGGCAGCGACGAGTCCGTATCCGCGGCGGCTGCGGCAGTGAAGGCGCTGCTGAGTGGCGACACCCTGTACGGCGTGGTGAACAACGCGGGATGCGGTCTTGCGCACGGGGTCGACGCCGAGACGATGGTGAACGTGAACCTGTTCGGGCCCAAAAGGGTCAGTGAGGCCTTCATCCCGTTGCTCAGCCCAACGTTGGGGCGGGTGGTCAACATCGGCTCAGGTGCAGGCCCGATCTACGTGAGGTCTTGTGGTCCAGCGGCGAAACAGCAGCTGTGTAAGGAGGACCAGACCTGGGAGGAGATCGAGGCCCACCTCAAGTCCGTCGACCCGAAGAGCACGCCGATGAACGGCTACGGGCTCAGCAAGGCTCTCCTGACGAATTACACTAGCTACCTGGCTAAGAAGAGCCCAAACCTAAAGATTAACTGCTGCTCTCCTGGATTCATCGACACCGCCATCGTGAAGGGGATGGGCGCGAGCAAGACTCCGGAGGAGGGCACCTTGGCTGCGAAGCACTTGCTGTTTGGAGAGCTCGCCGGCAACGGTTGGTATTACGGGTCGGACGGTGTCCGCAGTCCCCTGCATTTCATGCGCAACCCAGGCGAGCCAGCCTACGACGGGGTGGTGCCCGATTTCGCCACGCGCGTGCTGGTGACCGGGGGCAACACGGGCATCGGATTCGCGCTGTGCCGCCAGCTGGCCGCGGAGCACGGGTGCCACGTGTACCTCGGCTCCCGCAGCCTCGACAAGGGTCGCGCGGCCGTCCAGGCGATCCTGGCCTCGCACCCGAACGCAAGGTTCCAGGCCTCCCAGACGCGGTCCGAGTAGATGGGGTCGGAGGATCGCGCCGCATCGCCGATGCATCGCCGATGCGGCTCGATGTGGAGCCCGACTTTCTCCACTCCGACGTCGTCGATGCATCCTCGATGTGTCGCAGATGCATTGGCGATGCGGCGCGATCCTCCGTTCCCATCTAGTCGGACCCCATCTGGGAGGCCTCTAAAGGTGCGAGCTTGTCCAGATTGACACTGGCAGCGACGAGTCCGTATCCGCGGCGGCTGCGGCAGTGAAGGCGCTGCTGAGTGGCGACACCCTGTACGGCGTGGTGAACAACGCGGGATGCGGTCTTGCGCACGGGGTCGACGCCGAGACGATAGTGAACGTGAACCTGTTCGGGCCCAAAAGGGTCAGTGAGGCCTTCATCCCGTTGCTCAGCCCAACGTTGGGGCGGGTGGTCAACATCGGCTCAGGTGCAGGCCCAATGTACGTGAAGTCTTGTGGTCCAGCGGCGAAACAGCAGCTGTGTAAGGAGGACCAGACCTGGGAGGAGATCGAGGCCCACCTCAAGTCCGTCGACCCGAAGAGCACGCCGATGAACGGCTACGGGCTCAGCAAGGCTCTCCTGACGAATTACACTAGCTACCTGGCTAAGAAGAGCCCAAACCTAAAGATTAACTGCTGCTCTCCTGGATTCATCGACACCGCCATCGTGAAGGGGATGGGCGCGAGCAAGACTCCGGAGGAGGGCACCTTGGCTGCGAAGCACTTGCTGTTTGGAGAGCTCGCCGGCAACGGTTGGTATTACGGGTCGGACGGTGTCCGCAGTCCCTTGCATTTCATGCGCAACCCAGGCGAGCCAGCCTACGACGGGGTGGTTCCGAAGTTCTGATGCCGTTCACGGCCTAACTGGGCGTCTCGGTAAGCCCGCACTATCGGATACCCTCGAATTGTGTTGTCCCGCGCCCGCGACGACGTGCTCGCGTAAATCCGTGTTGCTCCAGCAGTTACGGCAGGTTATGGTATCGCTGTAGCGCGGGGCGGGTATTCAAGATCCAGGGTTCGGCGGCCTCACTATAAACGGGGCCCCCCAACGGTGAAAGATCGTTAGATGCCCCCTTTAACGCTGTGGTGCTTAGTTGTAGGACACGTGGCGCGTAGGTGAGTCGTCGCGCAGGCTTCGTGCGGCGCCCAGCTGCAGCAAAATAAGTCCTGTGGGCGTCCAACTGGGTCACGCCGAGGCGTCGACTGGGTGACACCGACGCGTAGGCACTCGCAAACCTTTCGCGCTCCCAGACGACATCTTGCTGACAAGCCAAACGCTTACAAACCTGAATGCACAGTTCTCGGACTTGGTCACTTCAACCAAGCCATGCGGATTAGAATCACACCAGGCCCAGGACGAGGCAAATGATGAGGACGATTAAGGAAAATGTTTATGGTTGTGGTGGTAATGGTAATGGTAATGGTAATGGTAATGATGATGATGGTGCTGATGATAATGATGATGTTGAGACGGATGTTGATGGTAATTAGGTTGATGATGATGACGATGCTACTGATGATGATGACGATGATGAAACTGATGCTGAGGATGATAATTATTCTTATGATGCTGGTGATGATGATGGTGATGACGACGATGATGAGGATGATCATGATGATGATGCTGATTATGATGATGATGCGGATGATAATGATGATGATGGCGACGATTGACATGACGATGCTGGCGTTGATAATCATGATGATGGTGGTTGTGATGATGATGATGCGGATGATGTTGATGATTCTTTTTCAGATGATGATTCATATCATGATTATGATGATGCTGCTGATGATGATGCTGATGCTGATGCTGCTGTTGATGATGATGACGATGAGGGTGATGATATGGATGATGATAAGGGTGACGACGATAATGGCGATGCTGATGATGACGAACATGCTGGTGATAATTTCTGTTGCAAGGATTATGCGTATGCCATGCTGTATAATCTTCGCATCTGCACCGATGATGATAATGACGATGACACTGATGAAGACGATGACGATGAAGCTGATGCTGCTGATGATGGTGATGATGATGGCGATGATGTTAGTGACGATGATGGTGGTGGTGGTCATGATGGCGATGATGATGCTGATGATACTGCTGCTGTTGCTGCTGCTGATGATGACGATGATGATGATGATGTGTATGATGATTCAGATGATGACTCTGTTGAGGATAATTACGACGATGATGATGATGCTGATGATGATGATGATGATGAGGTTGATGATGCTGAGGCTGATGATGATGGTGGTTGTGATGATGATGATGATGATTGTGATAATGATGGTCGTTCTGGTGATGCTGCTGCTGCTGATGATGGTGAGGATGATGATGATGCTGCTGCTGATGATGATGATGTTGATGATGATGATGATGGTGATGATGTGATGATGATGATGATGATGATGATGATGATGATGATGATGATGATGATGATGATGATGATGCTGCTGATGATGATGATGATGATGATGATGATGATGATGATGATGATGATGATGATGATGATGATGGGGAGAATAATGGGGAGGATGAGGAGGAAGAGGAGAAGGAGTAGGATGAGGAAGAGGAGGAAGAGGAGGAAGAGGAGGAGGAGGAGGAGGAGGAGGAGGACCAGTGTAAGCCCAAGACTTATCAGCGATGTTGCAATCACCCCCCCTTCCAAGTTCCCTCCTCAGAGGTCCCTACAAGGGTTTACTTTCACTGAGGGATGTGCCCCGTTGGAAGACAATCGTACTTCAGAACCGTTCCAGAACACCATTCCTGGGACTTGACCGCCGCGAATCAACGATACTGTAGCGTCCTGACCTTCCTGAATCGTGCCAGAACATCATTCCGGGGACTCTTAAACAAATGAGCACGGCGCTGAGGCGAGAGCCACATTTTGAAAAGGTACCAACCTCTATCCGTCAAAGTTTTGCGAACTTTTAGGACGAGTGCGCGCGGCGCCAAGGCGAGAGCCACATGTTGAACACCGTCCGCCCTCCATCTGTGAAGCTCCTTGCGCATGTTTAAGACGAGTGTTCGCGGCGCCAAGGCGAGAGCCACATTTTGAAAACCGCCCGCCCGCCATCCGCGAAACTGTCGAAACTTCCAGCTTAAGGAGAATAAGTGATGGGAAAGTCTCGGGCGAAACGCCCGGCCCGCCCTACCGACATGCTTCGGGCCCCGGCAGGGAGGATTTAGTTATCAGGAAAAGGATGAATGAGGAGGAGGAGGATGCGGAGGAGGATGCGGAGGAGGAGGAGGAGGAGGAGGAGGAGGAGGAGGGGGATGGCACAAGGAAACGCGGTGCCAGATGCTGACGGATATGAAAGTCTCAGTGCCCGCCAAATGCTTGATTCTGTAGGGGAGTCCGCGGGTTCACATGTCCTATATGATTTTATTGCTCTTTTCTTATGTTCACTTGGGCTGTATTGTGCCATCCTGGAGGCCACCTTGGGCTCAACTTCGTGGCGCAGTGTCCACCGAAATGGCCCATTGTATAGAGGAATGTGCGGGTTCACGTTTCGTTGATGCTCTTACGGGTCTTTTCTGTTGCCTCTTCGGGCTATGCTGTGCCATCTTGGATATTGTGCCGTCCTGGAGGCCATCTTGGATTCAAATGTGTGTCGAAGTGTCCACCAGAATTATCCACTCCGTATCGGAATGTGCAGGTTCACGTTTCGTTGATGGGTTTCTGGTTCCCTTCGGCTGCTCATTAAGGCTATCTGATTCCATCTTGGAGGCCATCTTGGACTCACTTGCGGGGTGAAGTCCCCACCCCAAGCATCCGTTCCATAGAGGAATCTGTTTGTCCAGATTTAGTTGACCATATTACTATTTTTCCCTTATCGCTCGCTTGGGCCATATTCTGCCATCTGAAAGACTAGCCATCTTGAATTTCCTCCTCCTCCTCTTCCTCCTCCTCCCTCTCCTTCCTCTCCTCCCCATCCTCATCAGCATCACCATCAGCATCAACATCATCATCATCACCATCATCACCATCATCATCACCATCATCACCATCGTCATCATCGTCATCATCAGCATCGTCATCACCATCGTCATCATCATCGTGACCATCATGATCATCATCAACTGCACCATGATCATGATCACGATCATGATCATCACCATCACCATATCACCATCACCATCACCATCACCAGGACCACAACCATCACCATCACCATCACCATCACCATCACCATCACCATCACCATCACCATCACCGTCACCGTCACCATTACCATCATCACCATCACCATCACCATCACCACCACCATCACCATCACCACACCACACCATCATCACCATCACCACCACCATCACCATCACCATCACCATCACCATCACCATCACCATCACCAGCACCAGCACCAGCACCATCACCATCACCATCACCATCATCATCACCATCACCATCACCATCACCATCACCATCACCATCACCATCACCATCAGCATCAGCATCAGCTTCACCATCACCATCACCATCACCTCCACCATCGCCATCACCATCACCATCACCACCACCATCACCACCATCACCATCAGCACCACCATCACCATCACCATCACCATCTCCATTACCATCACCATCACCATCACCATCACCATCACCATCACCATCACCATCACCATCACCATCACCATCACCATCACCATCACCATCACCATCACCATCAGCCTCAGCCTCAGCATCACTATCACCAGCCTCATCCTCATCCTCGGCCTCATTCTGCCTCACGTTCCGTACACGTAGTCTTTTCTCCTCTCCCACCTCCCTCGGCCCTCCTCCATACGACTCGAAGGAGGCCGCTGGCCTCTTTCGAATCGTCTGAAGGAGGGAGGAGGGAGGGAGGAGGGGGGAAGGAGACGGGAGGAGGAGAACAAGTGGGATAAGGGTTTGGAAGGAGGGAAGAGGGAGGAGGAGGAGGA